ACCCCTTCAGGGTAAGTCAAACTCCTGTCAGCAAGTTGAATAACTACCCCAGTCTCTTTTAGTTCTCCTACCCCCAACTGGTCAAATAACTCCCTAGGCATGACATTGATGGATGCTCCTAAATCAAGTAAAGCCTTGGTATTCTCCAAATTTCCAATCTTACAAGGCACAGAAAACACACCAGGATCCTGACATTTCTGTGGAAGTTTCTTTTGAAAGATGGCAGAAACATTTTCACTAATGCTCACCCTCTCATCCCCTTTCAGCCTTCTTTTATTAGTGCACATCTCTTTCAAAAATTTTGCATATTTTGGAACATTTTTTATTGCATTTAAAAGAGGAATGTTCACTTGAACCTTTTTAAACATTTCAAATATTTCATCATCTGGTTCTTTACTGTTCTTCCTTTGATTCTGATATTTACTGGGAAAGGGTGGCTGAGGTTTGTAAACTGCCCTAGGATTATCAGGAGTCACAACAGATTTATTGTTGACCAATTCAGGTTCTTGGATATTCTGTGAGTCAAGTTCCTTTTCCATAATTTCCTGATCCCTTCTAGCATTCCCTAAGGAAGGTTCAAGAAGAACCTTGTTATTCCTAAGGACAACAGCACTCACATTCTCCTTAGGAGCAGGAAATGGTTGAGCAGGTAACCTGTTGTTAATTTGGGCCTGCAAATTACTCAACAAGGTGTCCTGGGCTGTTTGCCTTTCTTGCATTAGCTTCATATTCTGATCAACTAGGGAGAACTTGTCCTCCATTTTTTTCAAAATTACCTCTAGCATTTGGTGTGTTTTATCAACAGGACCAGGAGGATTGTTTAGATTTGCAGAAAAATTGTTGTTGTTTGTACTTTGAAAACCTGGGTGACTTGGTCTGGGACCATATCTCAGATTTGGATGATCCCTCCACCCTTCATTGTAGGAATTAGAGTAGGGATCATACCTCCTCTGTCCTTGATTGTTAAAAGCAGCTTTAACCTTACAATTTTGAAAATTTTCAGAGTGAAAAGCAGGAGCTGAAAACATTTGATTTTGAAAACTGGGACACACTTCTGAAGTATGCCCTTCTAGACTACACACAGAGCAAACTGACTTCTTGATTCCCCCCACACTAACCATTTGTCCCATAACTTTGGTAAGATTTGCAATCTGATCAGTGAGGGCTGCAAGAGATTCAGTTTCCTTTTTTGGTTCATTCATCCTTAGTCCAAATTGCTGTGTGTTCTGATATATAAGATTGAAAAAATTCCTAGCTTCCTCTGGGGTCTTAGTAACTAGAGCACCACCACTAGCAGCATCTACCATACTTCTATCCATTAGGGATAACCCTTCATAGAAGTACTGGATGAGCAGCTGTTCAGAGATTTGATGCTGAGGACAACTAGCACAGAGTTTATTGAATCTCTTCCAATATTCAGAAAATGATTCATTCCCCATTTGTTTTATCCCACAGATGTCCTTCCTAATAGATCCTATTCTAGAGGCAGGAAAGAACTCCTCTAAGAATGCCCTATGCAGTGATGGCCAGGTTGTAAAAGA